TATATGTATGTATATATATATATATATATATATACACATATATATGCTTGTAAGTGTGCAAACACGCGATCTGTTACGCGCGGGAGAGAAATAAACAGCAGAAGAAGTAAACAGGAGCTAAACGCGACGAATACAATCGACGTCTAGACAAGTCCATTTTGCGTACGTTGATTAAACATTTGTATCTCGATCGAAGAGGGCCCGAGTAAAGGTTGAAACGTTTCGCCGTTTAAAGGTTGAAACATCGTCGAGGAATTCCAAGTGGTTATACCACGTCGCGTAAACATCTGCGCCTACTCGGCTCCGCTCGTCCTGAAATATCATAGATTTTTCTTAAGAACGAAGCAATCTCTCTCTCGCTTAGGCTACAACTATGTATAAATAACTATGTATAAAGTAGGTTTCGCATCGTCCTAGTAGTAAGCGATACGCGTCAGAGTCAGATACCATGAAAGGCTGCACGGTGAGAAAATCGGAGCGAGCCATTGATAACGGCGGAAGAAGAATCGTGGATCGTTAATCCGACGTGACGCTCTGGCGAGAGAAGAGGTGAGCCAGAAGGAAAGCGAGATGAAACGAGGCGTAGGCGAGATGAAGTGCAGAGGCGAGGCGAAATGAGGCAAGGGGGTGAGGCGGAGCGAGATACGACGAACGAGGCAGCTGACAGGCCCCATCAGCTGAGAACGTACACAAACCCGATGCTTTAACCGCGGGGGTATCCCCCTGAACCCGTCGTCGTGGGTTCTGGACGTGACGATTCTCGCTTTCTCTCTTTCTCTTTCTCTGTCGCGAGGAGGGTGTCACTTCCCTCGTCGAGATCTCTGACGGAGATTCGAAAAATAATAATACGTAGTTGGAGACGAGTGGAGAGAGACGGACAAGTATGGAGTACGTAACTATGGTGCCAACTAGGCTGCATAATGCTCGACGAGCAGAACAAGCTTGACGACGACGACGACGATGACGACTTGATCAGAGGGAACGCGTAGCGAAGAAAATTCATCGTTTACTAATCGCGACATAAAGCGCGCTTCGACGTCGCTCCCGCGATAGTCCTGTGTCGTCGTAGCGTCGTAGCGTCGTATTGCGTCGCGTCGCGTCGCGGAGCGGAGCGGAGCGTTCGTCGCGTCGCGTCGTGTCGAGGATGTCACGAAATCGCGATGGGTTTTTCCGAGTAAACAAAAATGTGTGTACCGGAGTAAAGTGGTAAACGTCGGGCGGGATGCGCTTTTCACGTACCTCCATATGCATCCGTGACCGCTGCGGCGGAGCGCGACGACGACGCGGGTTCTCGATCTTCTTCTCTCTGCCTCGCGACTCGTAACAGTCGTAACACGGATCACGGATCACGGCTGTTTCGTCTGCGTGCTGTGCCACGAGCGATCACGGCGAGGACGATGGTCCGTTTTGATCATCACTAACGCGAAACGCGCACGTCCTGCGAACGCCGTTTATCGTTTACGCCAGTTTACGCCGTACCGCTGATCGACTCGGCGTCGTTCGATTTATTTCGGTTCGTCCGCTGTCCGCAGGCGAAAACGCGCATACGATGACCCGCGCGCATGCGCCCAAAGCCGCTTACCGTTTACGGACATCACCGCTAGGTTGCGCGACGTGTCTCATTCGAAATGTCGCTTGATTGCGCTTCATGTCGCAAATGCCATACGACCTGATACGACTTTACGACCTGTCCTAGTGTTATACGCTGCTTCTTTTTTTTCTCCCTTTATTAAAAACTGCGACCAATTTCTTTTTCTTTATCGCGATTTTGTCACTTCTCAGATAACATGCCTGTTGTACAAGGTATCTAAAAGACGTCTTTTAGATATCTTATGTAATACATAATAAATGTTATCTGGGTTGTGTACATGTACATATGTTTAAATCAATATTTATGTCATTTCCATCGATTTATATAACGAAAATGTTATGAGGAAATATCTATATATATATCTTTTTTTGATAAATGATCTTCGACTATTTTACGTGTCCTTTTTTTTTGTTTTCAAAGAAATGAATCTTAATTATTCAAATTTAGAAAATTATGTTGTTTTATTTATTACGTCTTATTTTTGTATTCTTTTATATTCTTTTGTATTCCGATCGTTATTTTAGAACGTAAAACATTTTTTATTTCAAACATATCCCGGCATCAAAACAAATTTTAATTTATTACTGAAGAAATTTTATTTTTATGAAGAAAGTTAAAACTTGCTTCCTATTGCGATTTGCATAAAACTATTTTTTTTAATTCTTATGTTATTTGTTGTACAAACGCAGGTGAAAAGAATTTTTAAACGCGAGATTAACATTTAGGTGACGTTATAGCACAGACAAATGACATATGTATAAGCTATAGGCACGATTATAATTTGACGCATAATTTCACGATGATGGTGTGATGATGATTCATGAACTTGACGTTCCCGAAATATCGATATGTAAATATCGAATTATTTAATATATTAAGCGCTCTTACGAAATTGCATACATAATTAATTCTCCATGCAATATGTAACGAGACGTCCCTACTCTTTTAAAAAGATTTACAAAGCAAATATTGCATATACAATTGTTTCTTTGTTCTAATCACGATGCTTTTTTATCTAGATCCGATAGCACAATGCAGGTTTTTCAACGAGATCCGTCGATTAAAAATAATATCCCACACACGCACGCATGCACGCATACACGCACGCAGCAAAGATTTCCAAGGGATGTCCTAAGGACGTTCCCCAGAATATATCTCGGATACATTTGTGTGCTGTATGATAATAATATAACTATAGTGGAAGTACTATCTTGCGACTTTTTAAAGAGAATTTATTTCAGATTTTGTAATACCAAAGCTTCATTATTTTGATTAATGCGTATTTTTCTTCACATATTAATATTATTCTATTCATTATTATTATTTTCGTACAATTCTGATGTGACGAAAAACGCGCATTTACTGATATTTTTTGCGAGAAATATAGTCGATTTTTTATAGAAAATTTAAATAATAAGATGATTTTAATTTATTTTGATTTAAAAATAAAACTGAAGACACAAATAAAAAAATATGCGAAACTTTATGCATTGTTTGTTTAGTTTGAAATGGATTTTATTAGAATTAAAATTCGAAGATATTATAGGAATGCTCAGCGATTTGTAAAATTGCAGTAAATAAAAAATTCGTAATAAATAATAGTGTTCCTTGACATTCTAACATTAATTAATACCAAATTTCACGCATTATATCTACTTTGCCAACTTCAGTATATGTTTTTTATATAAAACGACAAAAAATATATATCGGTTTGTGTATTTAAAAAAATATTAGATTAATAAAAAAATTGTATAATTTGAATCTTTTTTTCATATATAGTCTTTATACATTAACAAAAATAAAATACATATATGTACGAACTTTATTTTGATCGCTTTGACATGACTCTAAAATTATGTGTATATGTATAATTAATCAAGCGTATATACGATTCATGTATTATGATTCATGCGATATGTACTTACTTTACATACCGATGTAATGTGTCCACAGTATATTCTCTCTCTTTTTCTCGAGCGTTATATTATTTAATAGATTTTAAACAAAAAAGAAAGACGGGACGATTTAAAAAAAAGTTTTTGACATGTGAGCTGAAAGAAAAAAAAAAGAAATATTAACATTTACAATTTTCTTTGAGACAGAAAGAGGCAGAAAAGCTGACATTGATCACACATAAATTTGCATTTAAAATTTTGTATATACGGATATATTACGGATATCGGTACGGCAGCGTTTTACGTTATTTAAAAAAAAAAGAAAGAGATACGTATTAAAACTATGTAGGAAACCTTTATTTATATTTCTTCCGATTTTCTAGTTATATTATTAAGTAATATACTCTTGCTGACAAAAATTAAATTTGCATTTTACTAAAAGAGCCCGCTAAATAATCTCACACGTAACTGCACGCGACGCGCACTTTATTATCATGGAGAAAATATTTTGATCGAAATTAAGCATGTAGAAAGGCTTCTTGGGATCCTAAATGCAAAGTGCAAGTATAAAAAGATTAGTACATGTATAGAATACATATATTAATCTTATAACTTTACTAATGTAAAACTAATATATGCATTTTAATTTTTTGTATATAAAGTTAAGATCATATATGGCGTCCATACGTCGCGTTAACTCCTCACGAAAAACATTTACATCCATTTATTGATATTTGGATCTTATAAAACCGGGATTCTTACGTATTTCTAAAATTTAACGAACAATTTGCTCGTATTATTTAACGTAAAAATATAAATTGCGCGGGGCTAAAATGCTATCTTGTATAGATCTAAGCTTTAAAAATGCTTCATAAATGCGCAATGTCTGCCACCCTCTCTCCCTTTGCCAAAACTGTTTACAGAATTTTCCCCTTTTTCTATTACCCTCTTACTGTTCATACATTGATTATTTCCCTTCAATAACCATCGCACAAATACATTGATTGAGAAGGATAACAACAAAGCAGCGATACACGGCGAACTTATTTTTTTATCTTGATTTATTCAATATGTGTTTTCTTATAAAGTGACGTCCTACTAAATAAAAGTAAATGAAAAAATCACCAAACATAATAGAGTTAATATGTCCATTAAAATTCTTCTTCTCGTTAAGGCAACTAATTTGTTTTAGTCTCATTTTACATGTCTAGAGTATATATATATATATATTTATATATTTATATATTTTTATATTTGTATATTTATAAAGTATATGTAAAACACTAATATATGGTTATTTTTATTTTCTTGTTACAAGCCTTATATTAATTAGAATATAGTGTATATATATGTATATCCTTTGTATATTCCTATTCTTGTAATAAAATCGATTATTATTTTTGAATCTAGAGATAATAAATATATATCTAACGTGTATTGTTAGTACAAGAGAAGTGTGTGCAGAGGGTGGCAGCAGGGTGCGCATTTGGGAGTGCTACTGTTTCAAGGACTCTCCAGTCCCTCATCTTTATACCGTCTCACATGGTGACATTCAACTGTATTGCTTTAGCGTCCACAGAACATGCTTGCTGTTGCTGCGTCTGTTGCTGCTGCTGCTGTTGCTGTTGCTGCTGCTGTTGCTGCTGCACTTGTTGTTGCACCTGCTGTACCTGCTGCTGTATTGCCTGTAGTTGAATCGTTTTCGTATCGACAGAACACGTTTGCTGCTGTTGCTGTGGTTGCTGTTGCTGCTGCTGCTGCTGTACTTGTTGCACTTGCTGCTGCTGTTGTTGCTGCTGTTGAACTTGTTGTTGCTGTTGCGCTTGCTGTTGCACTTGCTGTTGCACTTGCTGTTGTTGCTGCTGCTGCTGTTGCTGCTGTTGCGCTTGTTGAGCCGCAGCTTGGGCAGCTTGTCTTTGTTGTTGCCTAAGTATACTAGGTGGCGGATCCATATGCTGACGTTGATGTAGTAACAAATGATTTTTTTGGAAGAAAGCTTTGCCGCATTTATCGCATATGTGTGATCTTATATGGCAACTGCCGTCTGTGTGGCGTCGTTGATGCTGTGATAAGCCGTGTTTTTGTGCGAAACCACGGCCGCAATCAGGACAAATGTGTGGCTTAGGTTTTGGTCCTGTACCCACTGGCGGCGATGTTTGTGTCGCACCATGCATATGACTCACACCCGGCGTTCCTATCGGCCCGTTCATCTAAAAATACATTATTTATAATTTGCATATTTCACATTTTGAACACAGATTGTTACAATTATGAATTGAGGTATCTTTAATGTTAAAACAAAAAATATAAACAATATGATTGGAAACGAGACCGTTTATGTTAAACATTACTTAAGATACGAAGTGCCATTCTGGTCTAAATGTTAAGATGTTGAACTACTATATATTATATATTCATTTAAAATGAATTAATTTCAGAATTAATAATTGCATGCCGATATGGTTGTCGGACTTTCAACGCAATCAATCTGAAGTATTAATAATCCCCCCAAAATTTCCCAAATCTTAAAAAACTGTAATAAACTTAACTTGCGAAAAATATTACCTCGGCCGGGATCGAACCCGGATCTCTTGCATTCTTGTAGTCTAATAGAGTAGTCTTTAGACTACGTAGTCTAAAGGCTTAGGACGCTCGCAAGAGATCCCGGGTTCGATCCCGGCCGAGGCAATATTTTTCGTAATAAGTTTATTATAGTTTTTTAAGATTTGGGAAATTTTGGGGGAATTATTAATACTTCAGATTGATTGCATTGAACGTCCGACAACCATATCGGCACGCAATTATTAATTCTGAAATTAATTCATTTTAAATGAATATATAATATATAGTAATTCAACATCTTAACATTCAGACCGGAATGGCGCTTCGTATCTCAAAAAATATAAATTTGCTAATTTTATTATTTAAAGATATTTTTAAGTATTATATTGATATATAAGTGATGATTACTTGATGTGCTCCTGGAGTGTTCGGGGTAAGAAAATGTGCTGGAGTTTGCTGAAAGGCAGCTGCTAATCCACAAAGATCCGTTACAAGTGTTCGATCTCCAGTATGTAACCTTTGGTGCAAATTTAGAGCTTCTCGA